GTGTACTCAAGTCTTTCCTGACTTATGGTGACCCTAAAGCAAATCTATCATGGGATTTTTTTTACAAGATTTGTTCAGAAGAGGTTTGCCTTCCTCAGAGGCTGAGAGAGTGTGACTTGCCCAGGATCACCCAGTGGGTTTCCATGGCCGAGCTGGAAGTTGAAACTCTGGTTTCCAGAGTTGTAGTCCAACACTCAATCTACTATGTTTCTCAATAACCCCCTGAAAAGTATGCTGCATGTCTTTTTTCCTTTTTTCAACAGATAGACCAAACAAGAAGAGTTTTGGTAGTGGCCAAGTTTTTCAATAGGAATACAGGGAAGTTACTGTTCTTGCTACAACAGATTTTTTTTTCCCTCCTAAGGCCATTAATGCCATCTATTAATCTTATATGGGAGAAAAATTAGGGATGCACTTAGGGAACCATGAGAACACCACTGAGAATCAAATCTCCTCCAAGTTTCATGGGCTGTTAAGCTGCTGCCACACTGCAAAATTAAGGCAGTTTGACACCACTTTAACTGTCAGGGCACCATCCAACAGAATGCTAGAATTTGTAGTTTGTTGTGGCACCAGAGCTCTCAGAGAGAGGCAGCTAAATATCTCACAAACTAGAAATCCCAGAATCCCATAGCATTGAGCCATGGCAGTTAAAGCAGTGTCAAACTGCATTAATTCTGCAGTGTAAATGTAAGCTATGCCAACGTCTAAACAATGCATGATGAATTTGTGGTCCTCCAGATATTGTTGGACTATAGCTCACAAAGTCCTTTGTCACTGTCTACTATGCTGTTTAGGACAAATGGGAGCTGCACTCCAGTAACATTTGGAGAGCTACACAGTGCTCCATATCTGATTGTTTGTTTAATTCATTTTCGCACATATTTTTAAATATTTCTAACTAGAACTGAAGACTCAGTGGCGCACAGGCTATGATGTTGCTCTGTAACGTCAAGCTGTTTCCAACTTATGGCAACTATAAGGCAAACTTATCATGGAGTTTTCTTAGTAGGTTCTTCAGAGGGGGTTTGCCCTTGCTATCCTCTGAGGCTGAGAGAGTGTGACTTGCCCATGGTTCCCAGTGGGTTTCTATGGCCAAACAGGGATTTGAACCCTGGTCTCCAGAGTCCTAGTCCAATGCTCAAACCAGTACACCACGCTGACTCTCCTCAAAGGCTATATGATAGTTTAAATATGTGCTGAGCTTTAAAACAAGAGTAAAGGTTGCAGGATATTTCACTAATCAGGAACACTGTTGCAAAGCAAGATTCGGCACAGAACTTTAATTTGTGTAGAGGTTGCAACTAGTTCAGAACAAACTGGGTGCATCAATAATTCCAGACTGTACACAATACAGACCATATGAGTCAGTTGTGCAGCCATTTTCAGCTGCTATCACCCCACAGATACCCTAATACAGACAGATCTCAGAGCCTTGCACAAGTTCACTACTTCATAGAAATATAATGCTGGATGCATGAACGGGTCATAGAAATGTTAAAGTTCCATACATATTTACAATCATATTGTCTCACATATTCAATATAATAGAGACTTGGCCCCCATCTTTCAGTCACTGAAACTGGCATCATCAAGCTAGACTTTTCCCCAGAATCTGAATTACTGAAGTATTATTCTGAATAATAATACTTATTTGTGCACCTTATTGTGGAAATTTTCGCTTCCTCCCCCCAGGTTTCTATGCTTTGGAAGAAAAAGTACTACAGCACAAAGACTGACGTTCTCATTCTTGCCCATATGGCCAGTGGTCAGTTGTATATCTGTCTCAGCTGCAAAAGTCAGTTTTAGTCTTAGTGGAGTCTTAAGGCCTTTGCAGACTGCCAGAAATAATGCAAATTGAGTCCACTTTAAGGGTTAGGGTTAGTGCTAGGGAATCATGGGAATTGTTTTTTTTCTGAGACATTGAGCCAGGGACAGGCAACCTTTTTGAGACCTGGGCCGGTCTCCCGTCACCCAAGTCTCGGCTGGGCTGAGGGGGGGGGGGTGAATGGCGGCGGCGCGTGCTCATGCGCGCGCACACACCCTCTTCCTCCACGCGCGACCCCCCTGCGCATGCGGCTACCGCAGCCGCTACCGTGGCCACTGCTGTAGCGCACGCGGCCGCAGACGCCACGGCGCATGTCGCGGACACCATTTTGGAAATCCAAATCGCGACCGCAATGCGTTTGCACATGCGCAAGAGTACTGCGCATGCGCAAACGCATCGTAGCCGCCATTTTGACTTCCAAAATGGCGGCCGCAGCAAGCACGGCCGAAAACGGCGGCGGCAACCTATGGCCTGGGCTGGTAAGTCCGGGGCCCGGGGCCTTAACCGGCCCCCGGGCCGTAGGTTGCTGGTCGCTGCATTGAGCTTTCTCTGTCAGAGAGCTCTGGTGCCACAATAAAATACAGTTCCCATGATTCCCTAACCCTAACCCTTAAAGTGGACTCAATTTGCACTATTTCTGGCAGTCTGCAAAGGCCCATACTCTTGAATACCAACTTACTTATTATCCTTCATCACTTTATGTAGTTTTGCACCTCTTGATGCATGTGAAAGAGAGCCAATAAATTTTCAAGAGACAGTCTTATCTTTTTTTTATTCTCAGACTTTTGAATTTTCTATTTGAAGAAGATAAAATAAAAATAAAATGAAATAAGTGAGCATGTGCTTCTCAGGAGCTGAAGTTTAGGTATCATTGCTTGAGCAGATATATAAAATCATATATAGTTATATATTATTTATATGTTATTGCTCAAGAATAGTTATATAGTTGTAATGTACTATTGATGCAGTTACTACAGTTTTAAATGCTTGTATACTAGGAACATAGCTACTTTTCTGGTGATAAAGAAGTAATTACTACATTAGAATTTGTGGTAAATGTAAAGCAATGTACAAAACAGATCACCATTATTAACAGTACATATCTATATCTATATCTATAGATATATAAGGTCTCTCATCAGACATGTTGTGTTGATCTAGAGCAGGGGTAGGCAACCTTTTTGAGCCAGGGACCGGGTTGCTGTCCCTCAGACAAATGGGGAGCCGAAGCACCAAAAATAAATAAATAATTAAATAAAAATAAAAATAATTTTTAAAAAATTAAATTTAAAAAAATCTGCATGCACACTCTCTCAGCCCCAGAAAAGCCATGGCAAAACCCCTGTGGAGATTTTGCCAAGAAAACCCCAAGAACAAGTAATAACAACAATAATCAATATCATCATGGTGGGCGGTGGCGGCAGCAGGACTGGCCTGGGGCTGGTCCAAAGGCCTCAGGGGGGCCGGATGCGCCCCCCCCCGGGCCTTAAGTTGCCTACCCCTGATCTAAAAATACAGGATCATTATGAAAGTGAACAAGGAGGTATCCTCTTTCATAAGTGCCAAAGTTTTATAACTTAGGGAAGGGACATCAATAAATGAATCAGTCCTAGAGCAAATCAAGCCTCTCACTAAAGCCAAGATGACTAAACTGAGACTGTTATAGTTTGGGCATATCACGAGAAGACAGAACCCACTAGAATAGACAATAATGTTTGGAAAGGTAGAAGGCATCAGGAAAAGAGGAAGACCACATTACAGCTGAAGAGACCCAATCAAGAAAGCCAGGGCCCTGAGTCTGCAAGGATTAATCAGGGCGGTTGACCACAGGATGACTTGGAGGTCCCGCATTCATAGGGTGGCCAGAAGATGAAGCCAACTTGATGGCAGTGAAAACATGGCCATTCTCTTGGTGACGCAGGGGGGCAATCCTCAGATCATGTACTTATTTCCTTGTGCTAGTTTCACAGGCAAGGTTCGACATCCTAAACCA